TGGAAGTCCAGGGGCTCCAGATTGCTGACCCCATGCTGCCCAGGGTCCCTAGGGACAGCTCTGTCCGCCATTAGGGAATTTTTCCCCAAGAACCCCCTGTAACATTTCACGAAACCCCAGGCAGTTCATGAACCCCAGTTTGGGAACCACTGCTTTAGGGAAAGGGAGGTGTTAGTAGAGTGACCAGACAGCAAATGTGAAAAATCAGGACAGGGGCTGGAGGGGTAATAGGAGCCTACATAAGAAAAAGACCCAAAAATAGGGACTGTCCCTATAAAATCAGGACATCTGGTCACCCTAGGTGTTAGGGGAAGCTGCACTGTTCTGCTTCTATCCCCACTATAACTCCATTTTCCAGGATCATCCTAACCCCATCCATACCTGCTCTGGGTTGTCCACCCCAGCACTTCTTCCTTCTCCTTTGCCTTTTCTCCACTGAAGCCATTCTGCTCCTAGCAGCCTCAACCTACTCCTGCTTTATAGGCATGACTCCTCCACCCCCTTCTGCCCTGCCCCTCCTCTCCCTAATGCTTGCAGCTACTTTTCCCCACCACCCTTAAATTCCATAAACAAATTCTCATGAGAATTATTCCGGAAACAAGCAGTGATTTGATCCTGAAAGAGAGAGCCACCTCCTTTACCATCCCTCCTGTGTATCACAGCTTTCCTCTACCTCTCCACCAGTTTCCAAATACAAAGAGCAAAACTGTACCTCAACCTAAATTGCTTTTAAGACAGAGTTAGCTGAAGCAATGAAAAGGGGAAAAAAATGAAGTCTTTCTATGAAACCACAAAGTGGGTGCGTCACTGGTAAAGGCTGGAGACCATGCTTTTGAAAATGGCTGTTGAAGACAGAAGACCCCTGTAATACACAGATGAAGTACACAGAAAATAAAATGCATCGTCGTTTCATATTTACATGCATCACACTTCTTCCCTTTAAATGTTTTTAATATAAGCTCAGTTTTGCAGGAAATCTGCACAGATAGAAAGATTGGGTTTGGCACATAATGCTTTCTAAGCACGTTTATTAACTCCTTGAAATCTGTCCCAGCTGATTGCCTAAGTACTGCACACCTTTCTCATTAGTGTTAGGAAAATAGATTGTTTTTCCTGCCACTGTTTTCTACAACATTTACATGACCCACATTTTGCAAAAAGTTCAGCAAAGAAGACCTGTTTACCCCCCTGGAACCTCACTGCAGGATCAGGGCACAAGTCTCTTCAAATATATTTCATATTCTTGTTCATTCTCACTAGATAGGAAACTTGCCTTAGAGTAGTTTCTTCACTTTGTGTCTCACTCTGGATGGAATCCACAAAGGGACTTAGGCATTGCAGTGCTGAACATCATGGCACCCAACTTTCAGGTGTCTAGAAAATCACAGGAACAACACTGTGATCCACAAAGCCAAGTTAGGGGCCTCGGCTTCCTACACAATGAATGGGGAGAGACGGGCGCCCTAGGAATGCAAACCACAAAAGCCAGCAAGCTTGTTGGGGAGCCACCTAAACCAGCCAATGAGAAATACCAACAAAAGGGGTTTCCCCAACTCTTTCTGAGAGAGAGTTGCATAAGTCCAGGCTCTAGGAAGGCACCTAACTCTGCTAATGATCCATAAATGGGCACCTACTGCCTGGAGCCATTGTGGATAAGTAATAAGAGTGGCAGAGCATGGGGACTGGGCCCAGGAACTCCCACTGCCCAGGTGGGTGCCCTAACCGTTGGGATACTGAGTCCTTCCTGCTCCTTGGCCCAACGACCATTTAAGGATTTATCAACAGAAGATGCAACAGGAGAGGCTGAGGGAGCCCCACACTGGCCTATCCCGTAGCTCGGTGCTTAAAGCCCTCTCCTGTGAGGGGGGAGCCCTTTATTCAAATCCTTTCTGCCCTTTTGGCAGAGAGGGGGAAATTGGACCTGGGTCTCCCATATCCCAGAGGAGGGCTCTAACCACTGGGCTACACCTTATAAAGTGAAGGGTAGCGCCTCCACCTCTGGATTTTGGATGGGCTCTGAGCACACCTAACAGATCAGGCTCCACACATGAATGCCCATCTTCCACAAGCACTGACATTCCTATGTGCTGGGGGGGGGTGCTCAACCCCTTCCCCCACGGCTCCCACCCCACCCTGCCTCTTCACAGCCCCGCTATGCCTCTTCTCGCCCCACTTCTTCCCACCCCGTCACTGAGCGCCGTGCCCTCACTATTCCCCCTCCCCGCCAGCACCCCCTGCATGCTGCGAAACAGCTGATTGTGGTGGGTGGGAGGCACTGGGAAGGACGGGGAGGTGCTGGGGGGAGGGAGGAACTGATGGGGGCTGCCAGTTGGTGCTCAGCACCCACCCTTTTCCCCCCATGGTTGCTGCAGCCCCGGAGCACCCACGGAGTGAGCACCTACGCCATCTTCCCCTGGTTCATGGATCACTCAGGAGCTTAGGTGGGAGCCTGGCATCTAGTCACCTAGCAGGAGGCATCAGAGGCAAAAACACAGGTATCTGGGGAATTTTTACTCAAGAAAATTTAGGCACCTACAGGTTTGGGCAGGAGTCTATCTGTTTGGGAGGCAGGGGGCTCAAAGACAGCTTGTTTCCACTCCACCCACACCAAAAAAAAGAAAAAAGAAAAAAAAAGGAGAAGAATTCTTAAAGTGCAGCATGATGTTAAAACTTTAGTACTCCTTACACAGCTCATCAACCATTGGTTGGGGGTAACCAGGTTTGGGGACTATGGCAGGCCAAGAAGAAGTGGTCAAGGAAGAATTCATCTAGCTGGAGAGAATTCAAAGAGCTGGGAGATGTACTTTATTTTAAAGAAAACAGAACATGTTCCTGTCTCCAAGTTAGGCCTAAGCATTACTAGACTTTAGCCACAGTCCCCCACATAAAATCCAGACTACTTCAATGACACCAGCAGCAACTTCTAAAGCTCCTTTCTCCCTTTCCTCTCAGGCCAGGTCATGTATTCTGTGTATGCTGGAAAATTAACTTTTCACAGCTGCTACCCTGCACTGACCAGGTGCAACTGTGGTCCTTCTGCTAAGAAGGTTAACTGTTTCCCCATCAGCCTACAGACAGCATGTGTGTATGCTCCATCGTAGGGCCCCTCACAGATGGACTGAAGCTAAAAAAGACTTGTCTACTGGTTCACATAGTGGGGCTGGCACTGGCTTGCTCCTCTCAGTCCCCCGGTGTAGTGCTGAATACCATTATTTCTTGTGCTCATCAGGTATTAGGAATATTTATACATCTGCCATTCATCAGCATGGCACTTTTTAAAAAATTGTAAAATGGGTCTATATTGCAGTAAAAGTACAGTAAGTGCACAATGAGGCACAATAAGACAAAGTAATGCACCACAATTGTCTGAATTCATTAGAAACAGATGTAACATACACAAGCCCCGACCAGCTCAAGCATGGAGGAGTCAGACAGGTTAGTGATGGGTGATCTCTTGTTATCGAGTACGATCATCTTCCATGGGAGTCATGGGTCCTCAGGTGGCTAATAAGGCCAATCCTTGAACCACAAGTTCTATTACAATGAGGGCAGGTGTTTTCAGGCTCAGCAGGAGGATGTTGACCATGACTGGAAGCCAGTCTCTCCTTCCTCCTGCGCCTCTTGTCCTCTTCAGCTTGTCGGCGAGCAAGTTCAAAATGCAGGGGACCATCACATAGGACTTCACTCCATTTTAAGCGATCCTGGGCAAGTGTCTCCCAAGAGTCAATGTCAATATTACACTTTTTAAAGTTATCCTTCAGGAAGTCCTTATAATGTTTCCATTGTCCACCCACGTTATGGTACCGTTCTTTCAGCTGAGAGAACAGGACCTGTTTTGGGAGGCGCTGGTCTGGCATCCGGACAACGTAACTAGTCCAGCGGAATTGCTGACGGATGATCATTGCCTCAATATTGGTGGTCTTTGCTTCTTCCGGAACACTAATACTGGTGCACCTGTCCTCCCATTTGATCTTCAGAATCTTCCGAAGGCAGCTTTGAGGGTGCTTCTCAAGGACTTTCAAGTGGTGTCTGTAGGTTGTCCAAGTTTCGGACCCATACAAGAGTGTTGGGAGAATAACGGCTTGATAAACAAGAAGCTTGGTGTCTGTTCAAATGTCGTGATCTTCAAAAATCCTGTGCCATAAACGAGAGAAAGCTACATTGGCACAGCTCAGGTGAAGTTGAGTTTCTGCATCAATATCTACCTTGGATGAAAGATGACTTCCAAGGTAGAGGAAATGATCGACATTCTCCACTGCCACTCCATTGATTTTGGTATATGGGACATGTAATACCTCATTTGGAGAGGGCTGATAGAGCAGTTTAGTCTTCTTGATATTAAGAGTGAAACCAAGACTTGCATAAGCATCGGCAGACAAATTCAAAAAAGTTTGAAGGTCTTTCTCAGAGTGAGCAAAGATTGCGTTGTCATCGGCATACTGAAGTTCCACAAGAGATGTTGTTGAGATCTTATTCTTGGCTTTCAGCCTGCTAACCCTGAACAGCTTTCCATCCGTTCTGTAAATGATTTCAATGGCAGCTGTAAACTTCCCAGCAATTAGGTAAAGAATGACGGCAATAAAAACTGCAGACATGGTTGAAGCGATGATACAGCACTGTTTGACTCCTGTTTGTACTTTGAAAGGTTCATTCTGGGAGCCATCGTGGATCTGCCTGCCGAAGGCAAAGTGGGATTTGACGCCTTTGTCGGTCGCCTTTCTCGTCAGGTTTGTGACCTAAGTGAATGACAGCTCCCAGGATGCTCTGGGTCGCAGAGTCGCCCCCCCCATTCAAATTTGCATGCTGGGATTTGTAGTCATTCTCTCTGGCTCTATCTTGAGCATCCAGGCTGTGCGGACTACACTTCCCAGGCCTCCCCATGGCAGGGGGTGGGGCAGGAGATGATTACAGGGCGGGGTGGTGGGTGCGGCTGGCTCAGTAGTACTAGGTGGCAGCTCAGCAGCCGAAGCAGGCTCTGAGTTGTGTCTGGCTGTCTCAGTATGTCGGATGGGGCCAGCGGGAGCCCCGGCGGGGGCAGCAAGGAGGGCGGCCTGGACATGCCGAGCTCGGCGGTGCAGAATGTGGCCAATGTCTCGGTGCTGCAGAAGCACCTGCGCAAGCTGGTGCCGCTGCTGCTGGAGGACGGCGGCGAGGCCCCGGCCGCGCTAGAGGCGGCGATGGAGGAGAAGGGCGCCCTGGAGCAGATGCGCAAGTTCCTCTCCGACCCGCAGGTGCACACCGTGCTGGTGGAGCGCTCCACGCTCAAGGGTGAGAGCCGGGCCGGGTGCCGAGCCGCTGCAATGGGGAGAGCTGGGCGGGGCAACTGCCGGGCAGGGGGGAGGTGGCAGGGCCGGATTAAGCTTTTGTGGGCCTGGTGCCAAACATATCTGTGGGCCCCCATAGGGGCAAAGGAGCATGGCTTGGGGAAGTTGGTCCCCAGAGCAAGGGACAATGGGGCAAAGCATGGTGGGGCCAGCCCCGCTCCAGCCAGCCCAGTGCAAGAGCACTGAATACAAACCAGCAGTTGCCAGATGCACACTGGCCTGCCCAGCCCTGTGTTGCCAGCATGCCCCTTCCCCTCAGGGGTGGGCCTATGCCATGCCACACAGCCTCCGATTCCCTATGTCTAGTATCCCCCGGAACTGCTATGTCCAGCAGCCCCTGCCCGCCCACAGACCCTCCACCACAAAAGCACAGCGGCCTGCACGCCACCACCCCTGCCCCACACCACCCCACACAGCTGCACCACTACTGCCCAATGCACTTCCCCACAGCGCACCACCACAACTACACAGCACCCCACTCCGACCCCCCCTACTGCCCAGCGTCCCAACGCACAGACCTCCCCCACTGCCCCCCCAAGAGATTCCCCCCACTGACCAGCAGCCCCCCCCCCCCACACCTCCAGAGACCCACTCCCTCACACCCTGCCCCCTGGCCACTCACGGACCCTGCTGGAAGGTGACTGCGTCTGCAGGCTGAGCTGGCAGCGCAGCCGGGGCCGGTCCAGTGCCAGGGTGGGGAATCACTCCGGCCTCTTGGGAGTGGCGTGATTAGCCAGGCCAGGGTCTGCCCCCGCCCTCGCCGGACTCCCTCAGGACCCACTTGCCTGGAGATAGGGTCACCATACGTCCCCGTTTGGCCAGGACAGTTCCCTTTTTAAGCTCTGTCCTGGCTATCCCAACTTTTTTTTGACCAAAAACAGACATTTATCCCATTTGCTCTTGCCAACTCATCAGCTGGCAAGAGCAAATGAACAAATGCCCAGTTTGCCAAAAAAGTCTGGTGCGCCCCCCTAGCTGGGCGTGGAGGAATGTGTGTTTGGAGGGTGGCGACGCAAGGTGTCAGGCATCAGGGCTTTGGGGGTCAGCCCCAGCCCCAGCCAGAATGGAGCTTGGCGGGGTTAGGGGGCCAGCCCTAGCCCCTGGTGGTGGTGTGGGGAGGGTGTCAGCTCCTGGCAGTGGTGCGGGGAGCTGGGGCGAAGGAAGGGTCAGCCCCTATCCTGGCAGCGGCATGCAGAACTCGAGGAGGGGGGGTCAGCCCCTGGCTGCGGCATGGGGAGCTGTGGGGGAGGGGTCAGCCCCAGAGGCAGATTTAGAGTTAGTGGGGCCCTGTGCTCAGCTTCATTTTTGGGGCCTCTCCTTGGGACCCAGCCAAGAAAAAGAACATTCTCTCTGATCTCCCCCTGCCCCCATTTTTCATTCTTTTTTTCTTCATCCTTCTCTTGTAAGTAAATGAAAATAAAGTGAGGTACCTTGATTGTTCTTGTAGTCTAACTTATTTTTCCACAGACCACTTGAAAATCACTGGGGGTCTCGGCGGACCACTTAATGATCTTTCCAAATATTGTTTGTACCGTTAGCTAACGATTGTAAAGCGCTTGGGATAAGAGCGCTTTATAAAAAAAATGTAAAAAAACATTGGCGTGCGGGCTCTGGCCAGGACTTAGGGTGCGGGAGGGGGCTCAGGGCTGGGGGTGCAGGGTCTGGAAGGGAGTTAGGGTGCAGGAGCAGGCTGGGGGTTGGGGTGCAGGGTCTGGCCAGGAGTTAGGGTGAGGAAGGGAGCTCAGGATTGGAGTGTGGAGCGCTTACCTGGGGCAGCTCCCATTTGGTGCGAGGGCTGCAGGTGGGAATGTGGGGGGGAGGTGCAGGAGTCAGGGAGGGCAGGGGGCTGGGTGTGTGAGAGGGGGTGCAGGAGTCAGGGAGGGCACGGGGCTGGAGGTGTGTGAGGGGGTGCAGGAGTGAGGGCTGGAGGTGTAGGGTCTGGGAGGAAGTTAGGGTGCAGGAGTGGGCTGGGGGTTGGGGTGCAGGGTCTGGCCAGGAGTTAGGATGCAGGAGAGGCTCAGGGTTGGGGCAGGGGATTGAGGTGTGGAGCACTTACCTGGGGCAGCTCCTGTTTGGTGCAAGGGGTGCAGGTGGGAATGTGTGTGTGGGGGGGTGCAGGAGCTCCCATTTGGTGTTTGGGGTGGGGATGTGGGGGGTGCAGGAGTCAGGGCATAGGGTGTGGGGGGGCTGGGTATGTGTGGGGGTGCAGGAGTCAGGGCTGGGGTCATGAGGGTGTGTAAGGGGGGAGAAGGGGTCAGGGAAGGGAGCTGGGGGTTTAAGCTGGGGTCAAGGGGGTGCTTCCAGCCCCCTGCCTGAGCAGTTCACGGCAGGGGGCTGGAGGGGGTATTTGTAGGGGGAGTGCAGGGGCTCTACCCTGCCCCGATTTCCCCCCCCTTCTCCAAGGCCCCGTCCCTGCCTCTTCTCTGGCTCCTCCCCCTCCCTCTGGGTGTGCTGGCAAACAGCTGTTTGGTGGCGCCATGGTAAACCCGGTACTGGGAGGAGGGGGTTGGGTTGGGCGGAGCCTCCCTTTGCTGCAGATGGTAGCTGCCAAGCTGGCGGCAGTTGCTGCTTTGTGCGCCATGGTGACCTTTGTTCCCCTGCTCCCTGTGATAGGGCTTGTTGGGCCTCTGACCTCCCCCCATATACACACACACAAAGTGAGGGGTGGGCCTGTGACTCCCTCCATATACACATACACGCAGTGGGGGTGGGTCTGTGATCCCCCTGTATCCTCACCCTGCCCCCAGGAGAGATGCTGACCCCACATGCACGGTGTAGTGTACCCTGTAATGCCCTATTGCAACAGGAAGAGGGGAGACAGCCCCATCAACAATTCCCTAACTTGACCAAAGAAAAATCCTAACATCATGCCCTTATCTTTTCAAGTCAGGTACCAACAGGGAAGTCTATGTGAAGGCACAACGGCTTTTGTATTTACCTACATAAGACCTTTGAGCCAGCATCTACATCTTAGTTTATAAAGAGCTTTGGAGTGATACGTGGCACAACACAGCAATAAAGTCAGATGCTGTTGTGAAGGAGGTCCAAGTTCAAGGCTTCCAAGCACTCCAGTGCTGCAAAGCCAGGAAAGAAACTTGACAAAACAATAAATGCAGAGCTCAAGGGAATGTTTTATCGCCTCGACTTTGATTTCAGCCAAAGTTCATATAAGGCAGTGTCCACACATGTCTTTTTTCAAAGATCAATGTTATTTTCTTGATCTCGGTAATTTAAAACTGAAGAACCAGTTTCTGGCTATTTTTTCTTCCCACAGCAAAGACACATTAGTAGCGCCTCTGTATAAGTTTTGGGTTAGCTTTCAGGACCAAGGCTATGGTACATTCCCTTCCTGTGGGAATGGACAGGGGTGTTATTTGTGGGTCACAGCATCTCTTCTTCGCTCTATTCCAGTACAGGAGGTTACAGGGGGAGCCAGTTCCACCCCACGGGGAGAATCAGTTAGAGAATTGTTGAAATGTTCCCAAGGATCATTAGTTTCTACGTGGCTAGTTCACAGATGCAGGCAGAAGGAATCTCCCAATGATTTCATCTGAAGGACTGCACCTGCCACAGTGTTACAAAGTACTGCAGTGCAGTATAAACAGTGGGTATGAGCCAGTGCTGTTGAAGGACTTGGATGTGTGATGTTATGTTCTAGCAACTGAGCTACATTAACACCAGTGACATTCAGTTAAAATGGAATAAATGTTTCAAAACCTGGCTTGTGTACTTTTCTCTGTAATGTTTCAGAGTTGCAGCCGTGTTAGTCTGTATTCGCAAAAAGAAAAGGAGGACTTGTGGCACCTTAGAGACTAACCAATTTATTTGAGCATAAGCTTTCATGAGCTACAGCTCACTTGCATCCGATGAAGTGAGCTGTAGCTCATGAAAGCTTATGATCAAATAAATTGGTTAGTCTCTAAGGTGCCACTAGTACTCCTTTTCTTTTTTCTATGTAAGGTATTTACATTGTTTCCCCCCCTCCCCCCTTGTATAGTATCTAGTAACTTTTTTATGGGTGAGTTGCTCATAGGGAGGAATAAAAACTACATTAGTTTCAGATATGGTGTCATAAATATAAAAGGAAGGGTAAACACCTTTAAATCCCTCCTGGCCAGAGGAAAAACCCTTTCACCTGTAAAGGGTTAAGAAGCTAAGATAACCTCGCTGGCACCTGACCAAAATGACCAATGAGGAGACAAGATACTTTCAAAGCTGGGGGGCACAAAGGGTTCTCTCGGTCTGTGTGGTTTTTTTTGCTGGGACCAGAGCAGGAATGCAGGTCAGAACTCCTGTAAAAAGTCAGTAAGCAATCTAGCTAGATATGCGTTAGATTCTGTTTTGTTTAAATGGCTGATAAAATAAGCTGAGCTGAATGGAATGTATATTCCTGTTTCTGTGTCTTTTTGTAACTTAAGGTTTAGCCTAGAGGGATTCTCTATGTTTTGAATCTGATTACCCTGTAAGGTATTTACCATCCTGATTTTACAGAGGTGATTCTTTTACTTTTTCTTTAATTAAAATTCTTCTTTTAAGAACCTGATTGCTTTTTCATTGTTCTTAAGATCCAAGGGTTTGGGTCTGTGTTCACCTATGCAAATTGGTGAGGATTTTTATCAAGCCTTCCCCAGGAAAGGGGGTGTAGGGCTTGGGGGGATTTTGGGAGAAAAGACGTTTCCAAGTGGGCTCTTTCCCTGTTATATTTGTTCGACGCTTGGTGGTGACAGCAATAAAGTCCAAGGACAAAAGGTAAAATAGTTTGTACCTTGGGGAAGTTTTAACCTAAGCTGGTAAAAATAAGCTTAGGGGGTTTTTCATGCAGGTACCCACATCTGTACCCTAGAGTTCAGAGTGGGGAAGGAACCTTGACATATGGGGATGTAATAACAGATATCAAATCCTTGACAGTTAGTTAGGTGGTCTGGTATGTCTAACCCCGATCAA